ACAGAAGAGAATCAGTTATATTGTTTGTACACATGGTACTTTACATATATATCTGTTTGTTTAAGGTGTCCAGGTGATGCAGACAGGCTGGACCAGAGATTGAGAGACAGAACTGGACTCCTCACAGCAGTGAACTTCAGCACAGGTACAAAGACTCATTTTTCATACTGTACAAAGAATCAAGAAAGATATTGGTTTAAATAAATGAAGTATTGACTTGAATACACTGATATACATTCCATTAAACAATACTAAATACTAGATTATGGGATTAGTTTTGTATCATAAAGATAAAGCAACACTTTCTCAGAATAAAGCAAAACTATGAGTTTAAAAGAGTAAAAAAACGAATCAAGCAAAATAAAATAAATTTCAAAAATAAAACTATAAGTTGCAAACAAATCATTTGTGTAATCATGTAAACTATAAGTCTTTTTTCTTTGTTTTAACATAGGTTTTTGTTTGCAGTTCTTGTTTCTTCTTTCTCAATGATCAGACTTTTGCTCTCGCTGCAGCTTTCTCGTTTGCGCTCCCTCATTTTTTGTTTGAGATTTTGACACAAACATCCCAGGTGGGCGGGACTTTCAGGGGTGTGTCCCCATTGGCTACTCAGTTTTTGAGTGACAGCCCACTCACCACAGATCATACAGTGCAACTCATGCAGCAAACTCCGGAGACCACTCGGCCACGTTAGTGTCGGTGTCTCCTGGGGAGTTTCATGAACATATCGGATTTATCTTATGGATTGCTGTGCATTATATTTCTGATGTGTAGTTCATACTTTATTCCAACTTTAAATATTGTAATACCTGAACACACTGCTGCTGTTAAATAATTTCCCAATTTGGGATTGATAAAGTGTCTGTCTGTCTATTTATTTTATAGATTAAAAAAACACATCTATGTATTTTTAAGCTAAAGGTGATGCACAATATAAACTGTATACTATTATTTTTCAAAGACATGTTACATTTCAAAAGCATATATTGCTATGTTTAGGACAAACAATTAAAGACTGCTTTAATTTAACAAATTCTACAATATAAAAGTGGCAGATTTGCTTTATGAAACAGACCAGACCTAGGCTGCATACCAACACAATTAGGAATATGCTCACATCTTACTATGTTGGTCTGAAGAGCTGAAGCATTCATACACAATGGATACAAACTGTGTTGTCTCATTCTATATCCTGTGAGAAAATGATATACATTTAGCATGAAAAATTCGACATACTATTCCTCAGGAAGATATGAATAATCAACAGATTTGAATGGAATCTCTAACATTTTCATGTAGAATAAAGACAAAAAAGTGATTATACAAATTACATTTATTGAAATTTGAACCAGAAGATGAAGTCTCAAAGAACGTTTTAAATAAAAGGACATAAAACAAAAAGGTGGATAATAATAACATCTATTAAATGTATATGTAAAGACATTTGGTCAAATGAAATGACACTGAGCCAGTGATAACAGTAACGCCAGCGTGGATGAAGCTGGTGCAGGTCTTTCTTCATGCCCCCCCTCTGTGCTGTCCCCTCAGAGGAAGTAAAACACAGCTCAGGGGCATCATGGACGGTAGGTTTTCCTACAAAGTTAACTCAGCCTCCATTGATTTTCATATCAAATTAGCGTGTTAATAAAATAAACTATCATGGCTTATACTTGCATATCTAAACAGAATCATGAAAACCTGTTGGTAGAGTCAGGCACACGAGTCCGTTTGAGTGTGTGCGCCGGTGTCTGAACGCTCACTCACTGCTAGCTATGTAGCTAACTGTAGGCTACTTAGCTTGCATTGTTATGGATCTAAAGGTAGCACAAGCTAACTTTCATAGCACAACTTTACTTCTCACTTAACACAATAAAGAAACAGACCGTACAGCACAAACAACACAAATGATCAATACTTACATATATTTTCACTTGTAGTATTATAATCATTGAAATGCTGGTTCTTCTGGGGGTGTTCTATCCACGCTCAGCTACCGCACCGCAGCTTCCTGCACTGTACAATCGTTGGAGGACTGGGGAGTCACTCAAAAGCTGAGTAGCCAATGGGGACACACCCCTGAAAGTCCCGCCTACCTGGGAGGTTTGTGTCAGAATCTCAAACAAAAAATGAGGGAGCGCAAAAGAGAAAGCTGCAGTGAGAGCAACAGTCTGATCATTGAGAAAGAAGAAAACAAGAACTGCAAACAAAAACCTATGTTAAAACAAAGAAAAAAGACTTATAGTTTACATGATTACACAAATGATTTGTTTGCAACTTATAGTTTTATTTATTTTTATTTTTGCTTGACTCAGTTTTATTTTATTTTAAACTCATAGTTTTGCTTTATTCTGAGAAAGTGTTGCTTTATCTTTATGATACAAAACTAATCCCATACTAGATCACCTACACATCAGTTAAGTTGAGGGTTTTTTCCATGCAAAAAGTTACATTTAGATGTTAACAAGCACTATAATTTTGTCAGCTTTCTAATTTAATGTATTAAAGGCAAAGATATTTAACACATAGTGAGAACTGCTACTATTTATCTCTCAATATTGTCTGTAAAAAACGTGGTAAAAGTGATTCTTTCAGTGAGACAACAGAGCAAGCTTCTACAGTTGCACTACGTTTTGATAACAGTTAAATATTATTTTGATAATAACATATATTTCAATGTTGATGAACTTCATACTGTTAATTCATAATCTGATTGTCTTTGTAGCTCACTGTTGAAATTTAAAAAAAACATTACAATTACAAAATAATTATATCTACAGCCCCTAAACACACAAACACACCACTTTCATAAATAACACACTTGTTCTGCAATAATATGTTTTATGTTTCCTGTCATTTTTGTTAGGAAAGGACATGCCTGAAAGACACGACATGTTCTCCTTCTCTGAGGGTCAAGAAGAACATCCAAGAGGAACATTAAAAGCCGATGTTATGAGATTTTAAGACCAGTACAGGACATTCACTAAGAAACTACTTTTATTGTGAAAACACAGTCAGCTGATAGTCACCTATTTCCACATCTACACTCCATCAGCTGATTATTTCTATTTGCCTCACTTTATGAGCTTCACATCACTTGTGCCTTGTACCGCAGAGTTTGCAACGTCACAAATAAATGGGGCCAATCTTCAGTCAGATGTGAATGTGTAATCTAACATTTTCAGTAAGAATAATGGACAAAAGGAGTGCAAATACAAATACAATTTATTGAAATGTGAACCAAAACTTAATCAAATGTTTTAAATAAAAAGCACATATGGACAGAAGGTGTAAACCTATTAAATGTATAAGTGAACACATTTAGTCAAATAAAGTGACAGACTAGGCCTGTGCAGTTGGTATCAGCTTTGCCCAGCATGGGCTCCTCCATCAGGCCTGGTCCTCCTCCCTGAGGAAAGACCCTCAGTCCTCTCCAAACCAACAGGACGTCCATCACACGGAGGTTTCTCCCTGAAGTCTCTGCAGCTCTCTGGACACCACGCTGTCTCAATCCGTCCACACTGAATATGAGAGGGGGAAAATGAAAATAATAAATGCTTTAGACAATAAGAAACATAAAGTTGACTGTTGAGTTGCTCAGTTTTTTTAGATTGTCAATACTATTACTGTATAACTAATATCTCAGGTTAAGAGGCACATTCAAATAAAGATTGGTCTTTAAATACATTTTGTCTCTTGAATTGTTTGTCTAAAGTCAAGGATCTATAACTGGTACTTAGTTGTAATGATACAGTCTGGTTATTATGCTGTTTGGAGGAGGCTTCACAGGTAAGAGCACTAACTAGCTACCATCACATGTACCTTAGCTTGACTTAAATGTATTAAACGTATAGTTAAGTGATATCAAAATACAAATAACTAATGTCATGCAAACATATGAATATTTGCTTGATTCCAGAGTTGAATTTAGCACAATTGCATACAAACATTAAGGGGTTTTAAGATTCTGAAGTATTATGCTAAAAACTCAATAACTTAGATTATTATTTATAGTTTCATGTCCGCTTACCTTAGAAACGTAAAATGCGACGGCAGCGTGTAGATGGGGAGCATGTTAGCTTAGCTTGGTAGCTTCAGCTAGCTCTGGAACTTCCAGCTCGGTGGCAGCAGGTCCCGCCTCGGCTCCGCCTCTTTGCCCTTATTTGGAGAAGGCTTGAGAAGGCGGGAGTTGAACTCTGACGTCACTGTCGAGCCGTTAGCTGCCGACTCCGCCTACTAAGGGCTTCTCGGCAACTCTGCAGAATCCTATGGGTGACGTCACGGACCCTACGTCCATTTATATACAGTCTGGTTCTGTCTCATAGTGGCGTTTTGGCACTTTTAATGAGCGCCACGGTCTCTGAACAAATGAGACACACTGGTTCTGTGCTCCCAGTGGGCAGGATGAACATGAATGAGTCCACTCAGGATTAAAAGCTCTGTTCTCACTGTCCACGTTCCTCTTCTTGGAGAGCGCCATGTGTATTTATTTGTCTCTCCCTGTCTGCCGCTAACACGGCTGTTCACTCTCCTCTCCGCTTCTCTCCCTGTATCGCTAATTATTCTCTTCACTCACTTTCCTCGTGCTCTCGTCTCTTCTTATGTGTTTCTCTCCCTGTATCGCTCACTCGTCTCTTTCGCCCCCTGTCGGCGGTGGTTAAAATAGAATACAATAAATGTAATTATATTTATTGAATAATGTTATCATGTGATACGAACCCAAATCCAGTAGTATTTGTGTGAGTTTGTGATTGGTGTAAACCGGAGGAGTTTCAATACATTTGACGGAGACATACTCAATACATTTGAAGGAAATGTGCTGTAAACAATAGAGCAAATGCCTATTGCTCTGACCCATTGACAGCAATAGAGGCAAGCAATACAGGGACTGCAGTTCCTCTTTTATGGTACAAATCTCCACAGGGTCTAGCAGAATGGCTGCCCTCTGATCTGTTTCCTACCTCTCTGTTCCCTGAAAGCCTCTTTGGTTTCTCTCCTCTCAGCATTTGGCTCTCTGCCCTGCCTGGCTCAGACTCGTCCTTCTAACATCAAATCCACTTCGTGCATCGACCTGTCCGTATCGGAGCCCGGTCCCCGGCAGCCGTCCCGCCCCCGCGTCCTGCTGAAGGCTCCGACTCTGGCCGAGATGGAGGAGATGAACATATCTGAGGTGAGGCCAGACAGAGATGGGAGGGGTCACAGTAGCACATGCGTTGCAGCTCTGGTGGGTTAGATGGAAAGGGAAAATATTTTTGAGATGAATTTATTTTGCACAAAGTCTATTTTTCCCCTCCAGTTGTTTAACATCAAAAGTTGAAGAGGGGTTACTCCTGCACTCCCACAGACATTTGAGTTTCTTGGAGGCTGCTAAATAATGTATTTTAGATGTTGGCCAATTTCAGTTCAAAATGGATTAGGCGTTCAATGATTAGTCTCCCATACTTGACAAATGTTTTGTAATTGTTTGGCTCGAAATAGACATTTTGAGAAAACTGAGAAGATATAAAGAGGCCCTATTCTTCGTTTGGGTTTTTCCACTTCCTCTAGTGTGTTCTATAGGCTTCTGTGCATGTAAATGTGGGAGGCGGTGGCGTAGTGGATAGTGCGTTGGTGTTGGGATCAGGGGTCACAGGTTCAAACCCCCACTGCAGTCAGCATGTCGTTGTGAGACACTTCACCCCAAATTGCTCCTGTGGGGATTGCCCACAGTATTGAGTATGTTAGTCGCTTTGGATAAAAGCGTCTAACAAGTGACATGTATTGTATTGTAAATGGTCTGCAAAGGCTAAATTCCCTGTGTTCACCCCAGAGGGGCTTATCCAGTGTTGCCTTCTACCCCCCCAGGAGGAGGAGTCCCCAGAAAGCGGGGATCTGAGGCGGGCAGAGAGCTCCCCCACCCCTCTGAAGAGAGACCGCTCCTTCTCAGAGCACGACCTGGCCCTGCTGCGGGCCGAGATGCTGCCCCCCCTCTCTGACACAGCCCAGCTGGGGGGGGCAGTTCGGCTGCGGGGGGAGAGGCCTCGGTCCAGGACTCTGACCGGGGCCGGGCCGCCTCCTACTCACAGAGGTCAGTTACTTTAGAAAATATAACAAGTCCTGACTTCAATAGAGAAGGCAAATATAGAGTTTCAAATGTAGTCAATGTTATTATATCAGCATCAACCCAACCAAGAATCAATTCATATTCAAAGGGATCCAATGAATGAAGAATAAGCGAGTCCCTTTAATTACCATTATCGATTTAAAAGTATCATGTTGCCATAGCAACACTTGCCGTCAACTTGCCATTACATTTTTGTGGGATTGCTTGAACGAGCTTCATGCACATCATATGAATTAAATTAAAAACTGCTCCATGACTCTGACTGTGACTGTGAATTTCATATTGAAAATTGGCAGCTGTATAGTCGGTGACGAGGCTTCGCTGACATGACCAGGGGGAGAAGGAGCGAAACATAATTTAAATCGATATTTTTCCCAACAGACACTGTGACTTGTCAAACACAGTGATCACTAACAATATAAGTACAAGACTTTATAATCCCTGAACTTCAACAGGCGCTCCAAACTGTGTGCATCACTTCTGGTTTCTGATGTGTTTTGAGCACATTTGTGTTTTTATATTTGCATACTTTAAAAAATACAGTGTGTTTCTTCTGATGGAAGTGTTTTGGGTCTTTGTAGAGCGTTCCCCTGTCAGCCACCGTAAGAAACTAATGAGAAACATTTAAGGAAAATGCAGTTGATGTTCTGGATATTGTTATTTTAATATTATTCTACATGGCCCTTTTAGCACAAATTGAAACAATGATGAAAACAATGATTTCACTTAATCCATTTATAAAGGGGCATTGAAGTAGGAATTGTAATTGAAAGGCCTTAATATTGTCACGATCTGTCTGTGTTGTGTTTTGTCTTGTCTTTTTCTGTCTTTGGTATCCTGTTTTATTTTGAAAAGTGTTCACCTTCTGTCTTGCCTGTTGCTTTCTGTCTGTTTTCCCTCCCTGATTACCTGATTGTGTTCACCTGGTGCTCCTGTGGTTTCTCCTCCCTCCTCACCTGTCTCATGTTTGTTTGATTAGTCCTGTGTGCATTTAGGTTCTGTGTTTTCTGTTAGTCTTTGTGAGTTCCTTGTTGTAGTTGGACGTTGTTCACGGGCAGTGTTGGGACTAACGCGTTAATAAGAAGTACGTTACATTACTTTTATATTGTAATATTTGTATTAGAGTACTGGTAACTAGTGATGGCGAGATGAAGCCTTATGAAGCTTTGAAGCTTTCCAGCCAATTGGTTCGCAAAAGGGTTCATCTCATGAGGCTTCATCATGGGCTTCATTTGAACACAAACCCCCCTGTTGGTCAAAGTGTGTAAAACAGGCAGTATGCTCTCTCATACCGAGTTCCAGGGGCGGACTGGGGGGAAAAAGTGACCCGGGGATTAATTGACAGACAGGCCCACTTAATGCGCGGCATGTATCGGCCGGCCGGCGACGAAAGTATGTTACTTAACAAAAAACCCTGCATTTAATGTTATTTTGGACAATTATTCATATAGTAATCACATTACCTGAGCCCTTGAGTTGCCTAGAGCAAAATAGTTACGGCATATATTTAGTGATTTTAATGTTAACAGATCATTGATGCAATAACATTTGGACCCAATTTGCCTGATTGGCCACATGGAATAAAACATGGGCGTAGGAAGCATCCTCAATGTGGGTGAGACAATTTAACAGGGGGTGTGGGCAGGTGGTGGACCTCATCTCCTCTAGGGGGGTCCGGGGGCAAGATTTCACGGGAAGATTTTTTTTTAAATGTTGAAGTTAAAAGCATCAATCTGGTCCATTTTGAGAGCAAAATTAGGGACTAACGGCCCGTCTACACTACAGGCGTCAAAAAATGCTTTCAACGCTTCGCCCATTCATTTGAATGGGGTGACGTAGGATATTTTCAAACTTCGCCGAACTGTATTGTGGGTAGCATGGCAAGGCGTTGCAAGCATCGCGAGCGTCTATCGGCGTCAAAAGTTGAACAATGTTCAACTTTTGAGGCTCGATGCTTGCTCGAAGCTGGCGTCAGCCAATGAAATCCCGTTTATGCAAATCTGCCAGTACAAGCTAGCCAATCAAACCGCGTGTATGCTGGGAGAGACTACGCAGGTCTTTTCCTCATATTCAAAAAAATGGAGGGAAAATTCATTATAGCGGTAGTGAATCACCCGGTGCTGTATGATCAGTCTCTGTTCATCTACCGGGATACAAACCGGAGGAACCAGGCATGGAGGGAGGTGGCAGAGACAGTGGGTGAAACTGGTAGGTTTTCGCCTGTTTGGGGATTTTATATCCAGTTTACTTCGTTTTAACATTGCTATTGCTTTGTATGTCGGGGGCGGGAGATTCATGTGATTGGTTGTTGGTCGCGTTGCTCGCAAAAAATCGCCAAGCCTCAGACACGCCCAGCTTCAAGCTTTTTCGACGCCTGTAGTGTAGACGGGCCGTAAATCTATGGCAGTCAGTAGGGGCTTGGACTGTGAGCCATAGGGTCGCCGGTTCAAGTCCCCGACCAGACCTATTTGGAGTGTGGACTTCTACTTGGAGAGGTCCCAGTTCACCTCCTGCCATGGTGCCCTTGAGCAAGGCACCGGACACCCCCTTCCCCCCTCATTCCCATTGCTCCCCGGGCGCTGTGCAATAGCCCATTGCTCCTAGTGCTTCTTCAACCATATAAAACAGAACTGTAAACAGATTAACTTTTTCTTTCAACATTTATTTGAACAGCAAGTGGAGGCAAAAGTGACTGCACTCAAAATAATAAACCTGCTAGCTAATTAGCCTAAATTCAGTAACAGAATGTGGGCAACACGTTCTTCTCCACAGCCGCGCGACCTCTGAGTCAGACATCACTTCCCCCTTTTCTATCCTACGGGTACAGCCGTACAGCCACTCCCCCTAAACCCTGTTGTAACAACATAATAAACTTTTTGGGGATGCAGCTTGGGATGTGAGGACATGGCTTAGAACGGGCGTGTCGCCTTCTGTCCTGCCAGTGTTGGCAGGACATTAATTAAAATGTCGAACTCAGACTTCATTTTAAGGACATTTCGGCCAGGGGTGTAGAGCTATATTTGTTTAAGCACCGGATTGGCAAACAGGAGAGTGTGTGCACCAGTCTGCCTTGATCTATGTAGGCTATTCATGTCTGCCTCTCACAGTATCTGCTGCCCGCAGCTGTTTTATAGAAGGAACACCTCCTTCACTTCATGAAATCTCTGCAGCACCAGGAGGAAGCGGGAGGGTTAACTCAGCCGCTGAGAAGGCGCGCAGTGCCTTTCACGCACCGCCTTTCACGCACCGCCTTTCACGCACCGCCTTCACTGTGTTTACTTTCAGAATCATTACAAAGGCTAAAGAGCGGTGTGGTTGATGTGTTTTAACCACACACACACACACACACACACACACACACACACACACACACACACACACACACACAATTTAAACGCAAACTTTTGTTCCTCCATGTTACGTTGTTATTGTTTCACTGAGCGGACCCGCACTTTTTTTTCAAACGCTCCCCTTTTTGGTCCATCTGCGGCGGTAATAGGTTTTGTGCGCTGTGATGATTCGGCTGTACCTTTAGTAATGAATATTAAATGTTGTGAGGAAATCTTTCCACCAATAATTCCAATAAGTAATCCAAAATGTATTCACTTCAGGTTTACGAAAGTAACTGTAATCAGATTACTCGTTTTTCAAATGTAACGCGAGCTGAATACAGTTTTGATTTTTGTATTCTGATTACGTAACACCGTTACATGTATTCCGTTACAACCCAACCCTGGCCACACCCCACTGGGCTGGGCCGGAACACTTACAAATGTAGGATTTAGACCAAAAAAAAAAGATTTGTTTTTGTTTTGATAAACCTTTTTTTTTTGTTTTGGCCCTCCGGCCCACACACAGCACCGGCCCACCGGGGAAAGTCCCGGTATTCCCAATGGCCAGTCCGCCCCTGCCGAGTTCCCAATGAGTAAAGCCTTAGAATACCTCTAAACAACGAACATTAAATCATATTTTCATGTTAACAATATTGTATTTATTCCAGTTTAATGATTGTGATTGAAAAGCCTAAGGAGGCTGGTAAACATTGCAAAGAGGGATTTGTATTCCTTAATAATATTCATAAACTTAACCATGTTGTAGCCGGAGAAAGGCTAAACCATATCAAAGAATACATTTATTAATTATCTCATTTAGCTGTAGCTTTTATAAACAACAAAAAAGACGTATTGTTCAGTCGTTGAACCAGGGACCCTGCGGTCACGAGTCAACTGTTTTCCAGCTGAGCCACAGCACACACACTAAAGCTCCCTGAAAACACTGCAAGATATGTATTCCTGTATTTATTCATGTTTTTATTGATGTTTTTATTCCTACATTTATTTATGCTTGTATCTATTTATACTTATGACATGTTCCGACCTCTAGTGAGGGTCTGAGCTCTTTTGATTCCATCGTGTCACCGGGCCCGGGTACAGGAGGGGTAATATGGTTCTTATTATACATCCATGGGTATTATGAGCGTTGTGGTTCAACGGTTCAACCGATCTGAATGGCTTCGTGAAGCAGTCACATGGTATCGACAGGCAGCGAGGCTTCGTTTGTCATCGATGACGTCACTGGCCCAAAACGATACAAGCCTCGATACATGCTTCACAAAAAGTTTCGGGGATTACTCGACACACGCTCCGAAGCCTCGGCGCAATACATAACATCACTACTGGTAACATAAACTGAATACATTTTTAAAGTAATCCTCCAAACTGCTTCCCTCAGTGCACTTCTGTAATGGGCAGATTGGACCCTCTAGGGAAGACTTTGCAAAGTGTAAAAATGACAGAGAAGACATTAACTGCAATTTTCACAACTTTTATGTACATAAGTTATGGTAGTGTGTCAGGATAACTACCGGCAGTGTAAGAAACAGTTTTTAGAGAGTACTTGTTAGTTATTTTGGCAATTTACTGCAATTTTATATTTTAAAAATTGGGGCCACTGGAATCTTCTTC